CTTTTTGCTGAGGAAGACTGGCCCTGGGCTAACATCCGTGCCCATCTTCCTCCACTTTATATGGGACGCCGCCACAGCATGGCTTGACAAGCAGTGCGTTGCTGCACACCCGGGATCCGAACCTGTGAACCCCGGGCTGCCTCAGTGGAGCTTGTGCACTTCACCGCTGTGCCACTGGGCGGCCCCCCCCCCTTTTATGTCTTTGTCTTGACTACTTGCTCGAACTAGCAGGCTTTTAAGGACCCCCTTGGCTCTGAGAGTCTGATTCTGGGCAGGCCTTGTGGGGGTGGCGGGACTTGGTGGCTGGCTGTGTCTTCTGGCCACACCTCCTGCTCAGGAGCCGGTGAGGGGCCCTGTCTACATTGCCTGTCTGGATAATCAATCCTAAGTCTCACAAAGGTCTCAAGAACCTGCCAAGGCCGGCTCAGACCAGGACTCAGAGGCGGGTAGCATTCATCCGGGATTGGGGGTCACTTGACTGGGCTGAGCTGGAGTCTTGCACAGCTTGGAAGGCTGGGAAGGTTCGGTGAGCACCTTTAAGCTGCCTAGGGACACACATACTTCGTCTGGTGGGCAGAGGGCCAGAAGGCCCTGGGTCTGCCGTTGAGGGACTGTGTGACCTCGGGCAGGTCCCTGCCCTCTCTGGGCTCTACACTCTCTCCTATAAACCAAGTGGATGGGGCAGGGGAATAAACGTATTAGTTCCTCATCCTGTGGGATGGACATTTCACAGAAGTTATTTAGAGGAAACGTGGGATTTTGTGACACTCCATTTGTCAGTAACCACAGTCTTGCATCTGTCATGTTCTTAAGTCTTGGTGGGAGCCATGGAGGTAATAGCAGGGTGCCTGGCCATCCCACACTTCTAGAAATGTTTGGGTCTGGGAAGGGATGCTGGCCAGGTGGAGAAGGGTGGGTGGAGGCAATGGAGATGCAGGCCAAGGGAACAGCGTGGGCCAAGGTGAGGAAGGTGGAAAGCATCCGGTGAGTTTGGAGAACTCAGGTTATTTGTGCTGAGTGAGTGAGGGAGAAGAGAGGGGAGGTTACACAGGTCAGCAGGGGCCAGTCCTGCAGTGCTGGCCGGGAGCCTGCCCTCCGGATGACAGGGAGCTAATGAGGGGCTGGAAAGGTCCAGGTTACATCTGTGTTTTCCAGAGTTCACGCTGGTCAGTCTCAGCATCCCTTTGAGCTCCTTTAAAAGGAGGCTTGGGAGAGGAGGATGGACCAGGAGGGTGAAGATGTTTATTCAAATCCTGTCTCTGTCGCTTACCAGCTGGGTAATCTTGGTTTTAACCTTTCTCAGGCTTGCCTTCTTCATCTGTCTCCCTGGGAATTCTGGGATGGATCAATGAGCTCATTTGCTCAACACAAATCTCTTGTATTCCGGGTTCTCTGCTCCTAGCACAGAGTCAAGAAAGTAAACCAAACCTGGTCTCTGTCCTCCAGGAATTCACAGGCTCATGATTGGCTTTGATGATAGAGACACAGAAGGTGCTATAGGAACTGAAGGCAGTGGAGGAATCAGCAAAGGGACACGGGAAGGCATCTCCAAAGAGAGGATATTTGTGATGGGTCTTGAAGGATGAGTAGGAGTTCAGTAGGTAGGAAAACTAGTGAAAGGTGTCCAGATAGAGGCATAAAAGTATGAAGTGGGGACAGCAACTAGTCTGGGTTCAGAGGAGAATGGAGCTGGCGGTTGGGGTTGAGGTCAGCCAGGGTCAGATCATCAAGGGCCGTGAATGCCACAATGAGTTGGCACCAAATCTAGTGCATGGTTGAAAGCTGGTGGAGAATTTTGGGCAGGTGGTGGGCAGGAGTGTGGTCAAATCTATATTTTAGAAAGTACCCTCTGGGGACCTATATGGAGGTTGTCCTGGAGGGACAGGTTTCCACAGGAGGGAGGTGCAAGACGCGCGAAGAGGAGTTGAGGTGGGTCTAGGAGTAGGTGGGAAAGGTAGTGAAGTTGGGAGGGGGCTGCTTGAGAGGAGTTCACAGACAGAGAGTGGAAGGATGAGGTTCAAGGAGGGAGGTGTGCACAATGCCAGATAAAGGGGAGGGGGATCACAGGAGCTCAATAAATAAATGATCACTTGCCTCCATTCCCGTTAGTATTGGTGGCTAGAAGGCGAGGAGGTTGGGGCCAGAGTGGGACGGTAGAATTAAGATTTCTGAGTGGGACAGTGTTGGGTGGTAAGAGGTTAGAGAAGGTCGCTGGAGATGAGGCAGGCTGGGAACTGGGGTGCTGGGGTACTGGGCAGATCACCCGCATGGCCAGTGGCTTCCCAAGGGTGAGATGGGAAAGGGGATAGGGGAGGGCAGGAGAGGTACATGGTCCTTGATCAGAGTCCCGAGGACCCAGGAGCATTGGTTAGGAGGGAGGGGAAGGGGCCTGCAGCCACGTTCCCTGTAGGTATCAGATCATGCACCAGGGGCAGGTGGCTGGACCCCCATCCTGACCCCACCCGGCTGACCAACCCCTCTCTGTTCTTTCCCATCAGCCTGATTTTTGGGGCACTGACTGTCGTGACAGGCATCGTTGGGGTCATCCTGGGAGCAGAGGTTTCGAGGAGGTACAAGAGAGTCAACCCGCGGGCTGAGCCCCTCATCTGTGCCTCCAGCCTGCTTGCCGCAGCCCCCTGCCTCTACCTGGCTCTGGTCCTGGCCCCAACCACCTTCTCGGTCTCCTATGTAAGTGAGGGCCCTGTGGAGGTGGGGTGGGGCGGGGCGGGTAGGGCACTGCTGTTCATATGGGATTACACTGTGCCGGGTCCTTACGTACATTGTGTGGATCATCCTTCTAGGTGCAGCTTCTTACCCCCATTTTACAGATAAGTAAACTGAGGTTCACCAAGAGTTACAGCTGGGAAGGGGCAGAACCGGGATGAGCTTAAGCCTTTCTGACTCTAAAGTGTGCCCTCTGAGCTCCTGGTTAATGCTTTGATTGGAGATAATGGGACTCATTTATTCCCAGGACATATTGTGAGCCTGAGGCGAAATAGGGTAACTCTCCTCAGATTACAGATGAGGAAAGCGAGGCCCAGGTTGGCCATAGTCGATGTGGACACTGCTTTAAAGGTGACCATCGTGATAATATCACATCTTCCGGAACTGTATCCCATCACATCCCTTCATGCACCTCACACCACCTGCCAGCCTTTGGTTGCGTCCATTCCCTCCGCCAGGGCCACCATTCGCCTCTTCTGTGCATCCTGAAATCCTTCTCCTTCTGCAAGACCCAACTCAAAGGCCACGTCCTCCAAAAACCTTTCCAGATTACTCCATCCTCACGTGAGAATTCACTGTTCCCACCTGAGTTGAGTGCCTGTTTGGGTCTTCTCGGGCACCATGGTGTGTGGGTGGGGCTGTGTCCAGAGCCGGGGAGCCCGAAGGGCAGGGACCAGACCCCGTGAATCCCAGTGTGCTGCAGCGTCCCTGGCTCCCCAAAGCCCCAGCCCTGTCTGTTCCTCCGAATGGGAAGGGGCCACTGATCATGGGAAGATGGGTTCCAGCTCCCCTTCCCAGTCCCTCCCCGGTCGCAAGGCCCTGGGCACCCACCACTGTGGACACGGAGGCCCTCGCATGCGTGCGCGGGGTTCGCTGAGCAGGCTGGCCTTGGAAAGCAGATCAATAACAGCTTTATTGTTCTCCTACTAGTTTGGGTTGTCTCCCACCCATGACCAGATCCCATAGCTTTTCCAGTCACACTCATGAACTAAAAAGCCCGGTCCATTGAAATGAAAACTTTGGTTCTACTTCTAAACAAAAGAAAGCTTCTACCCAGGCCCAGAAATTGCATCAGGGAGAGGACAGCTCTAGTGGGTTTGGTTCTCCTTGTTCATTTCCATCCCTCATCCCGACGCCCCCCTCCCTGGGGTTCCTGACCCCTCCAAGGTTGGGCAGGCGAGGAAGGATGACCGGAAATGGGCCAAGCATTCCTTGTGTCCGGGGTTGTTTTTGCTGTCGGTGCCCTCCATTTGGCAGATGCCCGGGTGCTGGCTGACTCCTCTCTTGGGGGCACTTTTGTGAGTTTTTTGGGCCTCTGGCCTTGGCTTCTGCATTGTCCTATTCCCTGATGCAGGTGACATCATCACCTCTGTCCTCTCACTGCTCCCCTCCGCTCCTCTTCAGGTGTTGCCCTTCCAGGCCCCTCCTGCTGGACCCTGTCTCCCCGGGCAGGCGCCTGTGGGGCTCCCTGTCCTGACCCTCAAGCCTGTCTCCCCTTGGTGTCCGTTTGACCCCTGGATGAGCTCAGGAGGTGCAGCCACTCCCACTGCTCCCGGGTGACATGCTTGCAGATGCGGCAAGGATGCCCCTTGGGTGGCCCTGGTGCAGGAGGCTCAGCATTTTGCCAGCGTCCAGCCAGGGAGAAAGGCCAGTCTCCTTCCTCGGGCACTGGCCTCTCTGTGGGTGGGTCACCAGAAGCCCCTCACTCAGCTTTCTCACTCTTCAAATAAATCCTCCCGGCCTGAGTCTCCAGCCTTCTTCTCTACAAGCTGGGGGCCGCACAAGTCAGTTCCGTTTCTCTCTCCAAGCCCTGAGGGTGTGTCTAAAGCCTCTCTGAAAGTGCGGGTGCCTCCCACCCGAGTCCTCAGCCTTGGTTGGGCTTCAGCTGAAATTCCTGGAGAATAGAGTCCTGTTAGTGTTCCCTTCTGCGCCTGTTCTTATTTAGTTCTTATGACACCCTCGTGGGGAAGGGTTTTTCTCACCCCACTTGACAGATTGGAAAACTGAGGACCAGAGACAGCAACAGACAAAACTCAGACTCAGCCCTGCAGACTCCAAAATCTGTGTCCTTCATGCCTCACTGACCCTGGTCACCCCCACGGGAGAGAAACAGAGCTGGGCATACACTAGGCGCTAATCAGTGCCTTAATGTTTATTGGCTGAGGAAGCAGAAGAGTGACTGGGGCCATCATCTCCAGCTGGTGGGGGCTGAATGGGCCTGACCCTGCAGGCAGGCTGAGGCCGGGCAGATGGAGGCCCCATCAAAGGCTGTCCCTGCTTTGGCTGGGGCTGCGGACCCCCTGCCAGCTCTGCTTCTGCCACTGTCTTGGTTGGCTCTGGGAGGTGGCTCCTTGGCTGTGTTTTGGGGACACAGCTGTCCCCCCCTCTGCAGCCTGGCGCATCTCCAGAGCTGGATGGCTCATCTAGAAATGACATTGCGCTTTGGCTGACAAAGCCAGCTGGAGAAAGTCTTCTCTAGGCCTGCCCCAGGGTGAGGGACTGAGGGGCAGGAAGGTGGGCGGGGCCGGGATGCGTCCATCCTCCAGTGCGGGGAAGCCGCTCCTCCCTGCTGCTCGTGTTTGGGCCTGGCATGATACCCAGCGGCGCTGAGCCCCTGCCGCCAGAACTCCAGCCTTCCAGAAGTGGTGCGGTTCCTTCCGGACCGCGTGAACAGATCCCCGCCTCCATGGCTCTGTCTGTGCCTCTAAGGTCTGCCTGGACGTTCTGACTTGAGATTTGGACTCTAGATCCTCCCCCTGCCCACACCAACACTAATCATAAAACTCTTAACACCTCCAAACTTACCTCTTCTCTCAGCCCCCTCTGTCCTCTCCTGGCTCATGCCTTGCCGTCTTTCTCCAAGGCTGTTCCAGGAGCCACCTCCCTGGTCTCCTTCCTTTCCTGTTCACCCACCACAATCTGTTCTTGCCACACTGCCAGAGTGACACCACAGACCTTCCCTGCTCAAAAGCTTTGCATGGCTCCTTGGTGCCTCTGGAACTCAGTGCAGCTTCTCACCCTGGCATTCAAAGCCCCTCAGGAACTGCCCTGAAACCTAGGTAGCCTTATCCTGCATGTAGTCCTCCATGTAGGGTCCCTCCTGATTCCCAGGACATGCCCCATGCTTCCCACATCCCGGCCCTCCCTCTGTTCTCTCTCCCCAAATCCCTTCCATATGCCTGAATTGTACTGGGCCTTCATGGGCCGGCTGGAGCACCATCTCTCTGTGGAGCCTTCTCTGATTGCTAGGCCTGACCCTCTCCCCATCCTCCGTTCTCAGCACTGTCTTCCTTGGGTCGTGGTTACTTATGCTCTGACTCCTCTCCCAGCTGGGCCTGGTTGGTTCTGATCTTTCTCAGCCCAAAGCACAGTGTCAGGCCCTTGGGGTGGGGTGGGGGTGATCACTGCTTGCTGAGTGTGGTTCAGTGACCAGCTATTTGCAGTCATTCATTTATTCAGCAAGTATTTGTTGAGAGCCTATAAAGTGACATGCTAGTTTAAATGCCGCAGATATAGCAGTGGATAAAACAGACTGAAATATCTCTGTCCTTAGGGATCTCACATTCTAGTTGGGGAGACAGTCAACAGGCAAGATGTATAAGTAAAATTCACAAAATTTCAAATGATAATAAAAGCTTAGGACAAATAGAGTGGAGAAGGGAGATAGGGAGTGTGTGGGTGTTGGGGGGAGAGGGCTGCAATTTTACGTATTGTGACCAGAGAGGCCTCATGGAGAAGGTGGTTGTTGAGTCAAGACCAATAAGATGGTTACCAGAGGGGAAGGGGGGAGGGTGGAGGGTGAAAGGGATAATTCGGTACATGTGTGTGGTGATGGGTTGTAATTAGTATTTTGGTGGTGAACATGATGTAGTCCATGCAGAAATAGAAGTACA